CTTCAGTGCCACTATGCTGCTACAGTCAGACACAGTCATGGTATCCTCATTTCCAGCATTTCCTGACAATTTCCAACAAGTCAACAAATCAGGTCAATGGAGAAGCCAACAGGGAAGGTAACATCCATACCTCAGCTACCTTGTGCTTGAGCCACAACAGCCAATCAAACACCACCATGCACCCTTCCTGACCCTTGCCATCCTTGACCTGCACAGAACCTCTTGTGCATTCCCACACAAAGGGAGGGAGGGACGGAGGGAGGGAGGAAGATACATTTGTAAGCTCCTGGTCAGCTTCCCACAAGGAAACTCAATGGTGAAGCCAGCAGGAAGTCAATAGTCAAATCCACTTTCACTTTCTCAAAAATCTTGAGAAACATTATTTCAAGAAAATGCTGCTTCAGCTGTCTGGTTTCCAAATGCTCAGTCTTTGTAGTTTCTTGTGATAAAAGCACAGAACATATGGATAGCATGACCTTTGCCATTGCTATAGTCAGAAATTCATGTTTTATCACCCTCCATTCACTTATTTTAAACATAAAAAATCCATTAAAATTGGCATACAACTGCATATTTGCACTATTTTGCATCCAAAAGTTTTCCTAGATGTCTTTGACAATAGCAGCAACATTCATTGCTTCTCTTCCTTTCTTTGAATACCCAAGTTATTTTGGGCATATATACTCCAACATTTTACAGTTCCAAGATTATTTTGAAGCTACTTTCATAACTTTCTTCTGGGATCCAGAATACAAGAACTGTTTGATGTACAAAAGTGGCCCTTTTACCTCCAAAGGTAAAAAGGCCATAAAATAAACATAGAATTCTGTCAGATAATGCTTGAACCATTTATTGCTCTGGGGATAATTCCTTTAAAAATGCGAAATGTTGATAATTTCTTTGCAAATTAATTTCCCTTATGTTGTATCCTGAGCCTGCAAAGGCAGGCTCAGAACATTGCAATGGTCCCGGGCTGTTGCAAGCTGCCCAGGACCAGACTGAGTGGCGCCGGCCTTGCGTGCATGCGCGAGGCGCGGAAGCACGCCAGATTGTTACCTTCTTGCCCGGGGATTCTATTAAAAGAGACAGAGAGGCCTGCGAGCCTCAGAGTTATGTCGGAGAGAGAACTACTGAGAATAAAAGGCTGTTGGAATTAACAGAATGTGTGCTCTTCTTTCGCCGTTGACTCGAGGACTCAACACTAGTGACGAGGGTGGGATCGCTTGCAAGATCAAAGAAGAAGATTTGTAAGCTTACCCCAAGAATCCTGGAGAGAGGAAGACGGTGTTAAACTCAGCACCTGAGCGCTGGAGGTAAGCTGGCTGATAGATCCCTTCCTAGAATAAGAAGCAAGAATGGCGAAGATAGGGAGATTGTCTGATTTCGACGTTACTCACCCAGAAAGGTGGGATCTTATGTTGCTAGAGTAGAAAATTACTTTAGAGTGAATCATGTTAGAGAAGATGGCTTGAAGGCCGCTACTTTGCTGTGTGTCTGTGGTCAAGATGCATTTGAAATTGCAGAAAATTTGGCAGCCCCTGCTCCTCTTGAATCTGTCACTTACAAAGATTTAAAGAAGTTATTGAAGGAACATTTTCAGACAAGTTGTTTGTTATTGCATGGAGACACACATTTGAACAAAGGGATCAAAGAGCTGGTGAATCAGCCAAAGAATACATTGCAGCCTTGAGAAGAGCAGCTAAGCCTTGTGACTTTAAAGATTTAGAAGAAAGGCTAAGAGACCGATTTGTATGCGGGCTTAGGAACAGAGACTTGCAACAGAGACTCTTTGCAAAAGAAGACATTTCCTTCCAAGATGCCTTGAGAGAGGTCACTGCAGAAGAGGCAGCAGGTGGGGCGGTCAAGAATATGAGACCTATCAGGAACAACCCAGAAGCAGTCTCCATGCACCATGAGGGAGTCCAGGAGAGCTCGGAGGAAGATCCTGAAGATGAGGTGGATCATCTCTACCCATCCAGAGAAAGGAAGCAGAAGGAAGGCAAAGAAAAGTCTTCAGCTGTGCCCAAGTGTTTCGGGTGTGGAGGTCCCCACAAGAGGACCGACTGCAGGTTCCGTTCTGCAATCTGTAGAGCATGTGGTAAGCAAGGCCACATAGCAGCTGTGTGTCTGGGCCGTCAGAAGGTACAACCTCGAGAAGAATTGCGCCTGAAAGGTACCAGGATCCCCAGCCAAAACAGGGTGGGTTTCTGTGCATCACGTAGAAGCATCTATAGAACAGGCACACACAGGCCACTTAAAAAGAAACTGTCACTTAAGGTGAGGTTGCAAGGAGTTCCATTGGTTATGGAACTGGACACTGGGTCTGCCCTTTCAATCATTTCTATCCACACTTTCAGAAAGATTTGCTCTAGCAGTGGGTTCCAGGCCAAGCTTAGGCCATCCAATATAGTCTTAATAGACTTCCAAAATTCCAAGGTGTGTATAAAGGGGGAGGCCACCCTTACAGTACAATACAAGGATTTTGAAGGTCCATTAGATGGACAATACAGGCACCAGTGCTTACTCCAGTCAGGGAGTCACCCAGGGGGCATACTCATCATTCACAACCACAATTCAGCACTCCAAGCAGGGAGAATAACTGGGAGCATCCAAACAACCCAAACAATACAAGAGAACTGGCACACAAACAAATAAGCTGGCCCAGTACCGCTACTGCTTCCAAAAGGAAGTCTACACACAGGGAGGTAGTCAGAGAGGCAAATCCTGATTCTGGTACCTCCAGCATAGAATGGGGGGCAACCGAGTATTGGGGCACTGCAGAAACCCCGGACAATCCTGTTACGGGGCTTGGGAGTGAAGGGATGCGTTCCTTTGAAAGGTCCATTGTGGACTTGGAGAGTACTACAGAAATGCCAAATACTGGCGGGCACTTAGAGGGGCCCAAGAGTCTGCAGTTAGGCAGGTCAACCAAGTACAGTGGGGAATACAGTACAATAGTCTGTACTTCAGCAGCAGCTTCATCAACAGGTAACTGTTGATAAGCCTGTGCCAAATCTAGCTTTGCAAAAACATGCCCCCCTTTGAGGGAAGCCAAAATATGGCTGACTACAGGTACAGGATATGCATGCTGTTGCAATGCCTTATTTAGTGTGCATTTGTAGTCTGCACAGATGCGAATGTCCCCATTAGCCTTGAGAGGCGTAACTATGGGGGTTTCCCATGGACTTGAGTCAACAAGTTCTAAAACACCTTGCTGGATCAATTTGTCCAATTCAGCATCAATTTTCCCTTTTAAAGCAAAGGGTACTCTCCTTGCTTTCACCCTAATGGGAGTGACAGTGGGGTCCAGTTTCAAAGAAACTGGGGGGCCTTTGTAAGCTCCCAGCTGGGGGCTGAAGACATCTGCAAACTCTTTGCAGACTTCTTGTAGGCCTAGCGTTTGCAAATTGTGTAGCCCTGTAACTTGGATTCCCAAGGCCTCAAACCAATCAAGTCCAATAAGACTCGTTCGTTCATTCCCCTGAATTCCTGTTAGGGATACTTGCAGAACCTTGGAACAGGCCTTCTTCAGCCTCTCCATTTGGCTCCGGCTGCTGCCAACACCCTTCCCTTTGCCCACAGTGGTCCCCCTCCCCCCCTGGAGAAAGCCCAGGAGTTGCAGAGGGTGTGTCCAGTCTCGTACGCAGCTGATCAATATGTCGCCGAAGGACACGACCGTCATCCAGGGAAACCTTGTAGCACAATGGACCAGTGACCTTGCATACTACCGTAGGAACCCACAGGTGACCGGGCCCATAGTTCCAGGTCCATACTGGGGCACCCACTTGCAGACATCGTGGTGCCCTGGGTTGGGTGACCCTAGGAGCCAGTCTGTCCGGATGCAACCTGTCAAGTTTGGTGATCAGTTTGCGCCCCCAGCGAAGTTCAGCCGGGCTCTTCCCAGTGGAAGTGGAAGGTATGGTGCGGTAAGCAAGAAGAAAGTCTGCCAATCTGTGGTGCCAGTCCCCGTAGGTCAGTTTCTTTAAAACATCCTTGGTGATGCGAACCATCCGCTCAGCGATACCGTTGGTGGAAGGGTGGAATGGGGCCGAAGTTGCATGACGAATCATGTTGGCCTGCAAGAAAGCCTGAAACTCAAAAGAAGTGAATTGAGGACCATTGTCAGAAACCAGAACATCTGGGAGGCCATGTGCAGCAAAAATCTCTCTCAGTATTTGAATGGTCTTGGCAGCAGTGGTGGAAGAGACAGGAACAACCTCAAGCCACTTTGAATGGCTGTCAACAAGGACCAAGAAGAATTGTCCCTGAAAGGGCCCAGCGTAATCTACATGCACCCTAGACCAAGGGGACCACCAGGGTTTAAAAGAGGGGGCAACTCTACTCCAATCTCTGCACAAGAGGAATTAGGAAGTTCTCAACACCTGAGGAGATCACAGAGAGTAAAAAGATCTCCCAAATACCTTGAAGATTTTGTAACTTTGCTGTCAAAGCAAGGAAGGTGAAGAGGGTGCCTGCTGTTGTTAGGGGAACTTGGAAGTGCAGGTGTTGGGCACTTAATTCCAAAACAATAGCCTGGTACCATGCTGTAGTGTGGCTAGTGAGTAGCTGCAACAAATGTGCAGGTTCCATGGGTTGGCACACCACGCTCGTGTTGAGGTCACGTATAACTACCCATGTGGTTTAATAAGTTTCATCCGGGGGGAAAGGGGTGTTATGTCCTGAGCCTGCAAAGGCAGACTCGGGACATTGCAATGGTCCCGGGCTGTTGCAAGCTGCCCGGGACCAGACTGAGTGGCACCGGCCTTGCGCACATGTGCAAGGCACGGAAGCGTGCCAGATTGTTACCTTTTTGCCCGGGGATTCTATTAAAGGAGACAGAGAGGCCTGCAAGCCTCAGAGTTGTGTCGGAGAGAGAACTACTGAGAATAAAAGGCTGTTGGAATTAACAGAATGTGTGCTCTTCTTTCGCCGTTGACTCAAGGTCTCAACACCTTAAATGACCACAGGAATGTTTTTATTAAAGGTTTCATTGTAAGCTACAGCTTCCTTAATTAGAAACCATAGGAAAACTAATAGTATAAAATTATTTTAAGCAAGTATTTATGAATTAACAATAGAATTGTCTTAATAATAAGACAATAATTATTAACAACAATTATAAAAAATAAAATGTAACTCATTCTAAAAAACACACAATATATAAGTGTAAATTGCAGCCTAATCTTGGATCTGTTAGTCTTTTCAAAATGGATGAATAAAAAGATTTATCTTCAGTGTAAAATACAAACAAGGAGAGGGCAGTTTAATTTATCTTGGGAAGTGTTCCATAACTGGGGCGCTAAAGCTTTAGGTGGGTGAATCATCCAATGAAATGATAAACAGAGCCTTCACAGTTGATATTAATGTCTAGGTTGAGTGGTATATATTTTAGGCACCTGGGTCCTAAATATTGGTAATGTTGTAGACTTTTTTTTCTCTGCTCAAGTTCTAACTGCCAAAGAAAAATATTTTTCTCATTTTCATTAGACTGGCCCTTACCTCTTTATTCCTAAGACTATAAATAATTGGATTTAACATGGGTGTCACAATACAATATAGAGAGGAAATCAAAGTATCAATATCCAGAGAGTATCCTGAACTAGGCCTGTTATAATTGAAGTTAGCAGTACCATAAAATACTATAACCACAACCAGATGTGAAGCACAGGTAGAGAAAGCCTTAGCTCTGCCCTTGGAGGTCTTGATCTTCAGAATGGTGCCAATGATGCGGATGTAGGAGATAAGTGTAAAGAGGCAGGGGGTGAGTCCTATCAAAGCACTGGCTAGATGGAGTACAGCTTCATTGACTGATGTATCTGAGCAAGAGAGCTTCAGAAGCAAAGGGACATCACAGAAGAAGTGGCTGAACTGATTTGACTTGCAGATGGTTAACGATGAAGCAAGAAGAGTGTGCACCAGTGAGTTTGCTAAACCACACAACCAGGAGAACCCTGCCATCTTCCTGCAAGCAATATGGTTCATGATGCTAGAATAATGTAAAGGACTACAAATAGCCACATATCGATCATATGCCATGACAGCCAACAGTACACATTCTGTTCCTGCACAAGTAACGAGGAAAAACAATTGGGCAATGCATCCTATATATGAGATAGTTTTCCTCAGTCGAAAAAAATTAATGAGCATAACGGGGATTGTGGCAGAAATATAACAAATGTCTAGAAAGGACAAATTTGTCAAGAAATAGTACATAGGTGCATGCAGAGTCACATCAGTTTTGATCAAGATAATGATCAGAGTATTTCCCACTAAAGTTATTACGTAGATTGCTAAGAACATAAAGAAGAATAGAATATAGAGATCAGGATGGTTTGAAAAACCCAAGAAAATAAACTCCTTTATAAAAGTTTGGTTTCTCATGACAACAGGATTGTTTCTGAAAAGGTAAAGAAAAAAGTCTCAAAGACCAATACAATACTCAGTTGATATAAGACATTCAAAAAATATACTGGCTGGATTCATATATCACCATTAATCTATAATATTGTTTATCTGGGTATTGTGTGAATCCAGCCTCTGTATTTCAAAAAGCATTGTTTAATTGCTTTTATTATTAATTATTTACTCTAAATAAGTATTAACTACAATTAATAATTTAACTGATTATAAAGTTACATTATAAGTATGTAAATGCACATACATATGATAGATAATAAATAAATAGATCAAGAATTATTTCCATAACTGCTTGAATATAAAGCATAAACTAGATTTAAGTTCTTTATTGTATGCATTATACACATTCTACATTCCAGTATGTCCCTAAATAGCATCGCTTTCATTTTTGCAATATATTTATTTTGATCTCTTGTAATAAAAATACATCTGCTACTATTGATTTTTTTACTATTTTAGGTTTTACAATATTTTTGCTCACTAGAAACTAAATATCCAAAATGTTTCTGTCTTTGTTTTGTTTACACGGAATACCTTCAAAGTCTTTATGTAATCTCAGTTTCATTCCTGATTTCTAATTGCCTGCTAGGAATAAAAGAAAATTGCAATGACTGAAGGAGAAATGGATTCATCAACGTAATCAATAGGTAATAATACTTATAACTATAGACATTTTTAGGGATTTGGATGGATGAGCCTTTATAAAAGATTGAAAGGGCATGTGAAAGCATTTTTAAAATGCCTTAAAATGATGGGATCTATTATTAAATAATGGATTCAGGCTATACAATCTTATGAAAAAATTCCTATCAGCCAGAGGAGATCATAGAATCAATTCCTGTGTTCAAGGAAAGCCTGGCAGCCATCTATCAGGATGCCTTAATTTGGGTCTCCTTATGGAGCAGGACCATTACAATTCTGTCAGTCTGGTACAGTGAAATATACAGCAAGAATTGTACACAGCAAAATGATTTATAAATTCTGGATATATTTATTTGTATTATAGGCTATGCCACTCTCACCCCTACTGCATTGCTTACCAAGATACAGTGAAAATATCCACAAAAATTAACAATAAGAGAATAAACACAGATGTAATAGTAACAGTAATAAATTGGGTATATAACAAATATTTAAATGTTCTCCTAACACAGGGATAGGCAACCTTGGCTCTTTTATGAGCCAAGGTTGCCTACCCCCTAACGTGTCACAGGAAGGCCTCCCTCGCCTCCAGGGAGAGTTTATGTTGGCTCTCCTCTTTGATATGCTTCAAAAGTAATCTTTCCTTCTTTTCCTTTTCCTTGTCATCAGGCTAGAAAGGGTAAGGATGCATAAGATTTCTCTTGAGGGATCTCTCAGTGTACAGGATCCTACTGTATTTCCTATTTAGTACTGCTAAGGATGAGACATTGAACTGAGTCAAAGAAAAGCTCTACATTGTGCAGGGCAGATGAGGTTAAATAACTAACCTGAGGGCATAAAAGGGTTTCAGATTGGAACCCGCCACTGAAAATTGTACACAAATCCACCTGCTGCAGTATCAAAAACTCTTTGACAGGTTTTAGCTTTAGTGCACCCAAAACTGGGGCAGCGGGGAGTAGATAGAAAGGTATTAATAAAACAGATTGTGTATTTTTTTTCTTTCTACCTTGATGAAAAGCCATTAAACAGAATTAATGAATGTTTGAGCTATTGGAAAACAGGAGTTTAAGCTAGTAGGAAGTTCAACAGATTCTGTGACTTTGTAAATTTTTAATGGACTATGGGATAGGTGAGCCTTGAGTCATGTTTGAAACTGCCAGGGATATATTCAGTTCTCCCAAGGGATAACACTACATCTAGGACAATGCACACAGAAATTAAAATATTATGTATGAGATACTCATGAAGGGGGACTCATTGAACTGAAATTTTCCTCAGAAGGGATGCTAGCAAATAGAATCATTAAGTACATGTCCAGAATTTGAAAGAGTCTGATAGCAGTTATAGATCAGTAACTGACTCTGTGAAAAAGGAAATTAAATTATGGCTTCAAATACACTGCTTTCAGAACATGACAGCCCTACTGATGGGAGTGGGTTAGAGCAATCCCTCCATATTGTGTATTTGTTAGTTTGCCTGCTTTTTGTTTATGATATTGTTAATCTCAATCTCTTCCTTTCTGCCTTAGTTCCTTAGATATGCATTTACAAAATCTCCCCTTGTAGTTCTCCTTCTGATAGGATTTAGCTAGCCAGGTGCTCTTCTTCTCTGCTTATATGGTTTCTGTAAATAAATCTTTACATCAACATTACAAAAGCTGCTTCACTAATTCTTGTTCACATTATATTCCTGCTTTACAGGAATAGAAATTCTCTCCAACATTAAATTTTCACTCTCCAAATAGAGCAAAGTTGGTTTATTGCTAAACTTGACAAAGGTATTGCTTGCTAGATATATTATTAGTAATATTGATATATTATTAATGCTAAATCCAGCAGAATTTCAGAATCATGCTTCTATAGCAGTGTTTCTCAACCTTGACAATTTTAAGGCATGTGGACTTCAACTCCTGGGAGTTGAAGTCCACATGCCTTAAAATTGTCAAGGTTGAGAAACACTGTTCTATAGCAACAACTCCATTTTATTTGCATTCAGCTTCAGTTGGTCCTTCACATCTCTTACAATTTAAGAGACACAGAGGATCTTAACACATCTAATCCAGGGCTGGCAGGAATGAGGTTTACCGTTGAATAGCAGTATAAGCCTATGTATGATCGTTTCATGCAGATATTACATAACGTGAGTTACAAAAAGAATCACCTAGAGCAATTTCTAAGGATTCAAGTGGATGTCTCCAATATTTGACAATATCTAATTGGTAAGATAAAATCTACCACAAAGTACAGTCTGATGCAACTCTCAAATTCTTCAGGCACTCTTAACGTAGCCATGGCATTCCTTTTACACTCTATGGAAATGAACGTTGAACTTTACTTAAACAGGGTAGGAGACATATTGATGCTCTTGAACTTTGGTGAGAACACTATAGACAGCCAAGAAAATAAACAAATGGATCACTAAACAAATCAACCTAGAGGACAAATGTCCAGGCTGAAATTATCCTACTTTAGTACATTACACAGAGACTGGTCTCTCTGGAAAAGGCTCTAATGTTGGGAAAGGTGGAAGGAAAGGAAAGGAGAACATGACAACCAGCAGTAAACTGGATGGGCTCAGTTAAAGTTGTGATGAGTGGTCCATTGGAAGATTGAAAGAAGAGGTTAGAGGTAGATGGTCATGGGGAAAATCTATGTAGTCTCTAAGAATTTAAGAAACTTAATAATATAATGTAATGGGGAAAAGATCATCCAAAAGACCAATTAAGGCAATCGTTCTGTCAAATCTGAACAGTTTTAGATAATCTGTTTCCTCTTATTCAATGCACAAAGGCATAAATTTGAAGTATCAACAGGAATGAAACTGTTTCTTCCAAATCAGTTTAATTTCTTCTATTTCTTTATCTACAGTATAGGATTTTAGAATATTTGACTTCTGGCATAAAATACAAAGCAAGCGATGCAAAAACAGAATACCTTATTGCTTGCCATCCTCTTTTTCTCTTTCTTTCCATCTTTCTCAGCATTGTTGATTTTTCCAGAGAGCTAGGTCTTTCCATAATGTATCCCAAACTGAACCAATTAGAATTAAGGTACAAACGTAATTCTGTTTGGATTTAGCACAAAAGTTTAAAGCAATTCATAATCAACTATGTTTAATGGAAATAAACAAGATGCAACAGACTGACCTTTGTCAAGCAGAAATATCTGAATAAGATAACATCAGATAAATTGCTGGGTTACCATCTGGAAAAGGAACAAGACAAAACAACTATTCTGCTCGAGATGCAATGAACATGCTTCCACAGTGAAGGATATAATGGAGCAAATATTATGTTATGTCATGCCATGCCATGCAATGCCATGCCATGCTATGCTATGCTATGCATTGCATTATATTATCATAATATTTGGTTTCCATAATATATCCAAAATATGATAATTTGAGCCTGGCCATTTGTTTTCCAAGTGAGAACTCTGATTTGTTCCATGATCCATTTGTTTGATTTCTCAAGGAGAAGATATCTACCACAGGTTCTGGTCAAGTGGTGACCAGAACCTGCATACAATTTTCCAGATGCTGATCAGCCATTGGTTTATTGTGATATTTGCATCTCTGAGTGCACATTGTGGCAACACCTTAATTGAACTATTTTACCATTACTACAAGATCCAAGATCTCTTTCCTGATCATCCACTCCTAACTCTTATCCCGCTCATCCCATAGCATGCTTCAGTAAGAAATAGCCCCAACTGACTCTAAAGACTAATAATTGAAGACAGTCATGTTCATAATATACTGTTACAGTTTATATTCTACAGAGTGGCTGAGGAGATCAGTTAAAAATTCCCATAAAGAAAGCAAAATTTCTAAGTTACAGTTGCCTCAAACTAGCAATTCTAAGATGCTGGATGAGAAGGGAAAATTCTTCTCAAGCATTGCACTAATATTTATTTATTTTGATATGCAACTTTGAATTCGCAAAAACAGTTATGCATCATCTAGGAATTTTCCATTTTAAAAATGTCAAGATTCATTTTTTATCATTCTTAGCATACTTGCTTCCATGCAATAAATCCCTGGCAGATAATGTTGTTTTTTGATACAAGAATAAAATAATTTATTTTCCAGATACCCACAGACTGCAATCTCAAAACAAGATGAAGTTTTAAAAATATATTATTGCATTAATAAGCATCAGGACCATTGTATACTAAATCTTTATTTTCCTTTTATTTTTCTTAATAGTGTACAACTTGACCTTATTTTGTAGTTTTCTTTCATATCGTGCAAGGTGCATATTTTTCTCATAAAAATGGCAAATTCTTTTTTTAAAAAATAAACTTTTTGTAGTGGAAATATATACAAAAATAGACATAACTTCCATCTGGACATTTTCATGAAAATTCCTCTGTTTATTCTGAATAAAATAATCACAAATCTTCTAGATGAGATAATTCTGTTTTTTGTCATACAGGACCAAATTAGATAATCCCCAAACCAAATTCATTCTAGCAGACTAAGTATATAAGTATTTGTTGTATATTTTATTATATTTTTATGTGGTATAATCTGTCCAGGAATGCAATAATGAAAAGCAAAATACTGATGCCATACAAAGATAAATACATTTAGATGATTTGACATGTGTTTCTATCATTTATTAGATGTTCAGTTGTGAGCAGACATCCCCAACCAAGTGGGTATGTGTGTAATGGTGACATGAAGAGGAGGGAGTAAGTTACAGAAGACTGATACATACTGATTTATAGAAAGTGTTAATGATTTCAGATATGCCCTATTAGTATTGCATATTAAGGGTTGTTTGTAAGATTATTATGGTTCTTTTAACTTTTCAACCAGTCGTTGTGCAGGGTACTCTTATTTTTTCTCCCATTCTCCATCCTAAGATATTTCTTCTGAAACCAACCATGCCTAGAAGAGGGACGCAATCTTTCACACAGTGAGTCCCAAGCTTCTTTGGAGCTTCAAAATTAATATCAGCAGCAATGTCAATCAAACTAGTTGCTAATACAATTGATACAATAAAAAAGCCAAAAATTCAGAATGGGGAAGTTAAGCAACTATTATTTTAATTACGTAGTTTTAGTTCGCATTGCAAATGCATTTTTATTTGTAAATAAGTCCCATCATGTTCAGGGCTGCTTTTCCTAAGAAACTCCATATTGGATTGAAGTCTGATTCATTTTTTTTGGGGGGGGGGAATTGAAAAAAAAAAACCTGGAGTAGAATCTTGCATTTCTCATGTAAAATGAAAAGAGACTTTTACTACAAGATGGATCATACAGAACTGCCCATGCTTTCCTTGAAACAGACATTTGGAAGGAATTGCATAATTTTCTAAGAAGCTGCAATCATTATTCGCTAAACAGCTTTTAGGACTCATCTAATATTATACCAGGTAATGTTTAGATCATCTGTTAAGAATTTTTTGATTTTTCTGTGTTAATTCTGCTGCAAAAATTTGGATATTGGAGGACAATGCTAAAATGGCATTTTTCTCATTTGATATCAAGAAGTAAAATAGAATAGAAGTAACTCTTACACAATAGATACTTGTTTCTAATCACATCTGAGGATAGATGGCTATTGGGTGTAGGGCAAACTGGTGTTCGTGCAGCTGAAACATATGCTCAGCATCAATTATCTGACATGGTTACATTGCTGTCTAAATGACAGAGTCATTTTACATGATGACTCCCAGTGAGTAGGCTTCTTAGTAAGCAATTTATTGTGAATGAGAGAAAAGTAATTTCCTCTATGTAGAGACTGAGTTTTTAAAAGAAATTGTATATATAGGATGTATTTGAAGTAGAATATATTAATGCCTGGTTATGATTCCATATGCAAAGTCATAGTTATAAACGTATTAAGAATAGTCAAGCTCAAAATAATATTTTACACTTGTGCTCAAAGAAAGCAGAATTAATCGTTCACATATATTACTCTGTTACTTTCTTTCTTGAATACGTCAACAGTATTCATTCAAAGGTACTATATTTGGATTATATTAATATTCCTCTTGTTGCAGTGGCGATAGAAGTTTCACACATACCACTTAGTATGAAATTTTATTTGTGCTGAAAAATTTAGTGAAGTCACACGATAGTATAAAATCTTTTGAATATTTCACAAATAAATCAATTATTATCTCCAAAATGTATATCTCATTTCTAACAATCTGCCCCTAATAAAACTTTATTTGTTTTATTATAGTTTAGGGCTCTACAGGTAAGGGAGTGTTACTTACCAGTTTCACAATCTAACATGTTCAGAAAGAATATTGCACCTACCTGCAATTGCTGTATTTACAACAGCATTGCTTCCTCTATGACTCCTATAGATTAATTCAGGAAGCATTATTTAACTATTGGGACAAGACCTGGGGGACATATTGTATTGAGAGAAGCATCTTAGGAAAACATACAAAGAACCAGTAATTAAACTGATTCTATATGCACTTGATGAAAACTATGTTCTAATAACTCCAATAGGACATAGAAGTATTGTAAACTGTTTATTATTTTTATTAGGAAAAATTATGCCATATTAAATCATACAGTATACGGATGTATTTTAATTGGTATTTAGCTATCCTATTTTCATGAAATATATATTAATAAATATCCTATACAGAATATAAACTGGATTTTATTTTAAGATCTAATATTGAGTAAAATGTTTATAATAAATCATTTTTTGCAATATTAATTGACAGTACTTCCAACATGGGTAACTTATTTTACAAAATCATTCTTTGATTTTTTTTCCCCAGTTTTTCAATTAGCCCTGATGGATAGAGGAGAAGAGTGTGGATGCAGGAGGAATAGTTTCTCCTTTATTTTGATGTTGACCATAGAATCATAACGCAGGAAGGGATCTTGGAGGCCTTCTAGTTCAACCCCCTGCTCAAGGAAGGAACCTTATAACACCCCAATCAAACTTATGCCCAGTCTATTTTTGAAAACCTGCAGTGATGGAGCAGCCATAACTTCAAGAGGCAAGCTATTCCATTGATTAATTGTTCTCACTGTCAGAAAATTTCTCCTTACTTCTAGGTTGGATCTCTTTTTAAGAAGCTTCCACCTATTACTTGTTCTCCCTTAAGAATAAGTCAATCTTGACTTCCGGTTCCTGAACACGGCGATGTCGGTCGCGCCTGGAAATTTCTCTCCAGGCTGTCTGGAGTTTCCTTCACCGATAGACCCCCCTAGGGGGTTGAAAGTCGCCCTGGAGGGGCAACCACCGAGGAGGCCTGCTGGTAGATAGGGGAGGGTGGCAGCTTCCCCCGAGTCTCCAGCTTCTGCTTAGGGCTGACGGAGCAAAGATCGACCTGCAAGATGGCCGATCACCCTGCTGCACCAGCCAAAAGTCACATCATCATCTAAGCGTTAAAGACCCACCATGCATGATCCGGGTGAGACCCCTTTTGTTCCTCTCCATACCCCTGCTGTTTTTGCCTGTAGAAACTGTTTGTGGTATTATTTCCCCGTCTGGAGAAAGCGTCTTTAGTAAACGTGGGAACAAACACGTTTTACAAAAAGAACAGAAAAAATAAATATTCATTTAAAGACTATATTCTATTCCTACTTACATTGTGCTGTAGAAAAAAATGTTTTTTGTGTTTTTTGGAGCGGTATTATATCGGCCGAGTATTTCTTTTTCTATTCTCCCTTTAAAAGATAGAAAAAAGGAAAAAATGGCGTTTGAAGAAGTCTTTTTAGCTCACTGAGGACACCTACTGGTCAAAAGTTAATATTGGATTGTTGTTTTTTGGAGATGAGAGAGTTTTGGCCTTCAAACTGCTTTTCAAGAAAAAAGATAATTTGAGCTAGCTGTATGATCTGTGGGGGTAGATAATATTCAATTGTAACCTTCACTAAAAAAGGAAAAGTATTCGTCTTCAACTATTGCTAAAATGGAGAAGCCTCAATCACATTTAAACTGTAAACTTATACTGAAAAAGATCTATGAGGCTAAAGAAGAAATATGTACTACAATAAAAGAGGCTACTACAGAACTAAGAGCCAGAATCTCTACTTTAAAATTTAAAACT